AAAATTGAAGGACTCTGTCACCAGTATACCTGCCTTGCAAGAAGTGTTAAAGTAAAATCTTCAGAAATAATGAAAACGATATGTCAGAAACTCAAATGTACATGAAGAAGAGGGTTAGAAAAGGAATAAATGTAGATTTTTCTTATCTTTAATTCATCTAATAGACAGCAGTTTGTTCAAAATAATATAGCAACAAGGTATTTGGTGATTATAGCTTATGTACTTGTATAAGTGAAATGACTGACAGCAATGTCATAAGGGATGGGAGGGAGGTATTGGGAATACTCTTTTATGAGGTACTGGCACTCATGTAACGGTATAGTGTTACATGAAAGAATACTTGAATTAGTTGTAAATGTATGTGTATACTGCAAACTCAAGGGCAACCACTAAAAAACATTTTAAAAAGAAGTACAATTGACCCTTGAACAACACAGGTTTCAACTGCATGGGCCCACTTGCATGCAGATTTTTTTTCATTAAATACTGAAAATGTATTTTCTATTCCTTATGATTTTCTTAATAACATTTTTTTTGTCTAGCTTTATTTAAGAATACAATATATAATACATATAACATATAAAATATGTGTTAATAGACTGCTTATGTTATTGGTAAGGCTCCTGGTCAACATTAAGCTATTAGCAGTTAAGTTTCTAGGGAGTCAAAAGTTATATGTGGATTTTCGACTGCGCAGAGGGTCAGTGTCCGCATTGTTCAAGGGTCAACTGTATAATGATATGCTAGGAGCATTATTCTAAGTGAAATAAGCCCAATATATATGACACAAATATTGTATGATTCCACTTGTGTGAAATAGGTTAATAATTCATAAAGACAGAAAGTATAATAGAAGTTTCTAAGGGCTAGGGCAAGGAGAAAATGGGGAGTTATTGTTTAATGGATACAGGGTTTCTGTTTGAGATGATAAAAAAAAAAACCTCTGGAAACAGAGAGTGGTGGTGGTTGTACAACACTGAACACATACTTAATGCCACTGAACTGTACAGTTAAAATGGTTAAAATAGTAAATTTTATGTATATTTTAACACAATAATTATATTTTTAAACTCAGTGGTTGCTGAAGTGTTTTCAATATGCATCTTTAATTAACTGTAGTCTACTTACAAATATACCACTTCATGTGCTGCATAAAGATCTTAGAACCATATACTCCCAAATCCTCCCTCCCATCCTTTGTGCTATTGCAGTTACATATACTGCAAACACAATATTTTGCTACCATTTTTGTTTCAGTTATCTTTTAAACGTATTAAAAATAAAAATAAAACACTTTGTACCTACTTACATTTATGCCATTTCCATTGTTCTTTATTTCTCTGTGTAGAGCTAAGTTTCTGCCTTATATCAAATTCCTTCTGCCTTAAAAACTTCAATATTTTTTTTGCAGGTAATGAATTCTCTCAATTTTTGTTCTCCTAAAAGTCTTTATTTCTCCTTTACTTTTGGAGTAAGTTTCTGCTCAGTATAGAATTCTGGGTTGACAGGTTTATTTATTTCAACACTTTAAAGATCTTACTTCATTGTCTTCTGGTTTGCATAGTCTCTGAAAAGAATTTTGCTGTATTTCTATATGTTTCTCTCTATGTAATGCATTTTTTTCCTCGGGTTGCCTTCAAGATTTTCTCTATTTGGTTTTCAGTAGTTTGTTTATGATGTGTCTGAATGGGTTTAGTTTGTTGTTTATTATTTATTGTTTTGCATTCCCTGAGTTTCTTCAATATGTGTGTGGTATGGTATCTTTATTTGCTTTGGAAAAGCAATTGTTTGACATTATTTCTTCCAATATCTCTTCCTCACTTTCTCTCCTTTTTCCTTTTGAGATTCCAATTATATATACATTAAGACTTTTGTATATTGTCCACAGCTGTTTGGTGTGTGATCTGGTTTCTTCCCACTCTTTTTTTCTCTTTGCATTTCACTCTGGGCAATTTCTATTGACTTATCTTCAGATATACTGATTCTTTCCTCATCTGTGTCAAGTCTACTGATGAGCCTGTCGAAGGCATTCCTCATTTGTTACCAAGTTTTAAATTTTCTATGATTCCCATTTGATTCTTTCCATCTCTGTGAAATCCCTTGTGTTCATGCACGTTGTCCACTTTTTTTGCTAGAGCCTTTAACTTACTGATGATTATGCTTATTTAAAATTCTCTGTCTGATAGTTCCAACATCTGGTTCATGAATCTAGCTCTGTTGAGTGTTTGTCTCCCGACAGTTTGCTGGGTTTTTTCCCTTGCTTCTTTATGTGTCCCATAATTTTTGGTTGAAAACGAGACAACCTGTATAGAACAGTCGACACTGAGGCAAATAGTATTTATGCCTGGAATGAGCATGTTTGTTCTTACGTCTTAAGTTTGTTCTTACATCTTAAGTTTGTTCTTACGTCTTAAGTTTGAGGGAGAAAGTTAAGTCAATCTAGTTAGGAGTGGAGCTGGGTATGGGTTTTGCTGTTGCTATGGTTAGTCACAGTGCACCACAAGCTTCCAATTTCAGCAGGATTTTCTGAAATTTAGGGTGCAGACTCATTTGCCAGAGGGTGTTTTTCCCTTGTTGCTTCACCCTCAGATTTAGGTCTTCTCTTCATGACTGTATCTCACAGACCATTATCTCTCCATATTCTTCCCTCTCTCCCACAAACTTCTGTTACCCAAAATTCCTAACTGGTAGTGGGAGACAAGCGGGAAGGGGCACTCTCTGAGATTCAGCCTGTTTTAGGTTCTTTGTCTCTGGGTCTTGGGAGTGAAAACTTCTCAGTTATCATACCTCTCCCCCAATTGCATGTATTTCTGCCCATCTCCCAAAGACAGAGAGGGCTTTTATTTCTTCTGTTCTGGCTCCAGGATGCAAAGGATCTTCACCAGCACCCTGGGGTTAATAGAGTTTGCATCCCTTTCCCTAGCAACTTGAAGCCTTTGTTCTAGAAGACCCAGGTAAAGCTTAGTACCTTTCCCATAGTGTGTGCTGTTCTGTCCACCAGACATGTACCATTAGGAAGGCTTTTTCACTACCTTAGACTTGAACTCCTTGCAAATGTGGTTTATCTTGAATTCCTTAGTCCCTCCCTCCTTTATTCCAAACTGTGTCCTATAAAACTCTTGCCAGTGGCTTGTACATCCATCTCCATTGTTCTGGAGATCTAAGTTGTGTCAGCTTTGCCTGCGATCTTCCAGCCATGGGCATCCCTCCTCAGCATCTTCTACACCTAGTCTTGATTTTCAGTATATTTGGCAGCCCTTCATCATATACTGATTCAGGCTTACAAATATTTCCTACATTTGACAGTGAGAGAGTATGCATTTATTTAATTTTCTTAAAGATTTTATTGGGGAATTGGGGAAGGGAACAGTGTTGGGGAATTGGAGAAGAGGAACACTGTGTTTTTCCAGGACCCATCAGCTCCAAGTCAAGTTGTTGTCCTTCCATCTTAGTTGTGGAGGGCGGAAGCACAGCTCCAAGTCCAGTCGCCGCTTTCAATCTAGTTGCCGGGGGAGGGGGGAGGAGCAGCCCTCCATCCCATGCGGGAGTCGAACCGGCAACCCCGTTGTTAAGAGCACACGCTCAAACCATCTGAGCCATCCGGCTGCCCATTGGCAGCTCAGCTCAGGTGCAGTTCACTGGCCCATGTGGGAACTGGACCAGTGACCCTGTTGCTCAGAGCTCGCGCTCTAACCAACTGTACCACCCAGCTGGCCCACGTGAATTTATTTGTTGTTCTCCTTGTTGCTTTGTCAAAGAAAAAGTGAAATCTGACTCTTTAAAGTGACATTTTCTTTTTGACCAGAATTTTGTCCTCTATTTGCATTTTAGTGTAAATAAACGAGCTTGTGTAAATACATATCAGATTAGTAATAACATTAAAAAGAAGAATTCAAAGGTATTACAGAATCACTAACAGACTTGCCATGTTAAAACAATATTGAAATCAATTACAAAAGATGAGCCAACACAATACTAAATAAAATCCTTACCTAAAATATATAATTCTCAGCACTTCAACTTAAAGACAAATGAACCAAGAAATAATCAAAACGGACAACTATTATGACTGAGTTTTTACATGATGACAAACTACAAATACCAGCACTCTTTAGCTTATAAAAACACCTAGAAGAATACAATCCAACTTCACAAAATCATAGAAAATTCTGAGCGAGCATTAGTGTCTTTGCAAATCCTAGAACAAATGAATGATGTCCTATTGAACATTCCTATAGACTGAGCTGTGTTCTCCCAAAATTCCTATGTTCAAATCCTAACTCCCAACGTGACTATATTTGGAGATAGAGCCTTTATGAAGATAGTAAAGGTAAGTGAGGCCATAAGGCCATAAGACTGGAACCATTATTCAACAGGGTTAATGTCCTTATAAGAAGAGACACCAGAGAGCCTGCTCTCTTCCATTATGTCACTTGAAGACACAGCAAGAAGGCAGCCATCTGCAAATCAGGAAGAGAGCCCTCACCAGAAACTGACCGTGCTGGCACCCTTATCTCTCAGCCTTCCAGAACTGTGGGAAAATAAGCTTCAGTTGTTTAACCCACCCAGTATATGTTATTTTGTTATGCTGTATAGGCCACTAATATAACCCACTGTATGACATTACTTATATTTATGCTCAGTGTGATAAGAAAATGTTATTGAAATTACTTTCAATGAGCAAACCATCAGTCATAAAATGCTATAAAGTGCAACAAAATAAATCACTTTCTTCAATTTATAAGGTTTTTTGACAAAAAATAAAGTAATATTCATGACCAGTCAAAACGACAATTCCTGCATTAAGTGGCAGAAAATACACAAAGCTAAAAATAATTTTAAGAGTATGTCAAGTTTTCTTAATGAGTGTAGCAGGGGGAGGGAAAAGCAAAAAACTTTTCAAGCGCCCCAACTTAAAATAACTCTAAATTCTCTAATGATAGTACAATCAGTCAAAGGAAACAGATATAAATAGTAAAGCAAATACAGTTACTGCTTACATGTTTGAAAGATCCATAGGGAACTGCTGTGGACCCTGTCTCTTCTAGATAATCTTCCCAGCTTAATTCCACTTCTTCCACACCAGATCCAGCATCTGGAATTAAAACAAAACAAAAACTGGTGAACCCCAAGTAAAGAAAACTCAAGGTACAAAAACATAAACCTGGTAATAAACCTAACTTACAATTTACTTCACAACAAGTTAACTGGTTTTATGGTAGGTTCCCTTACTGCATTGATTATCAATGAATCTCAACAGCAAAGATGTGTGACAAGCTATCTCCCATTGGGATCCATCTGGGATTCACCCAAACGGATCATACAAAACTGGTTGGAGTGTAAATATTACAATCACTTTGTATTTAGTATCTAATGCCAAATATTTGAGATACTTAATAGGCATTTCAAACTTGAATTTTCGATCTGATTCTTCCTTAATACTCTAGTCTCCAACTGAGTGAAAGATACCACTAGTTGATATTTTGGCTCAATCCAAAACATGTGGGACTGTCCTTGCTTTCCTCCCTTTCTTTCACATCTTATACCCAAACCATCAGAAATTTGCCAGATACTACCTTTAAAACATATCCCAAATCTAATCACTTTCCACCATTTCTATTGCTAGGTCTCTAGTCTAAGGCCTAACCATAACATTGTCCACCTTTTCATCATATTTATAATAAAATCTAAACTCTTTGGGAGTCTGCAAGGCCCCACATGGCCTGACCCCCTGGCTACCTACCCTGCTACTTCATTCCCAAAGAGCCTCTTGTTTGCTCATTGCACTCAAGTGGCACTGAGTTTCTCCCCATTTTTCTCTAATCATGTTCTTTCCCTCAAAGCCTCTGCATTTGCTGTTTCCTCAGCTCAAAGATTCATTCTCTAGTTATCATTCACAGCTTCACTGCATTCAAGTCTCTACTCAATCGTCATCTCTCCAGAAAGGTCTTCCACCAGAACCCATCTAAAATAGAAACCCCCAGGCTCTGCTTCCATTATATTCAAGGCATCTATTCCCATTTGACAGTACACAATATATCTTTTTGTCTTCTCTATTAGATAGTAAACTCTATGAAGACAGGAACTTTGTTTTGATCACTCCTATATCTCTGTCACAACAGAGACTCAATAAATTTTTGTTGAGTGAGCAAAGATTCAAACACTCCATAATCTAATAATCACAATTCACATAAGCTCCCTAAGAGCAGGGTTTTGCTCATTGATATATCCCCACTGCCCAAAACAATGCCTGGCACTAGCAAGTTTGCAATAACTAGTTGCTGAATAAGTACATCTTAGGGGATCCCATGCTTCACACAAACACAAGGAGGCAAATACAAGGATGCTCACCACAGAACTGTTTGTGCTGGCAACAGCCAGAAACAATCAGGAGGAGCAGAGGTCAATTACGGCAGTCCCACAGTGGAGTGCTACTAGCTAGCAGTTGAAATGAATGAACTAATATTTACATAGTTAAATCTCAAAATAAACACATCAAAGGGCCAGCCAAGTGGCACAATGGTTAAGAGCTGGCTTGGGACGCCAGAGGGCCCCAGTTCGGATCCCACATATGAGGGCCAGTGACACTGCCCTCCACAGCTAAGATGCTGAACAACAGCTCAACCTGGAGCTGGGCTGCCGTGAGTCGCCGGTGATGGTGTAGGCTGCAGTCCCTGTGGCAGTGGGTTGCCATGGGCTACCGTATGTAGCCAGTAGCCAGCAGCCAGCGTGAGCAGCCAGCAGCCGCAGTGAGCAGCCCTCCAGAAGCCAGTGACTGATCTGCCTCGCCCGGGAAGAGCACAATGATGGTGCCAACTTGGGCCAGTGAAGCAACATCCTCCACAACTAGACTGAAGAACAAAATGACAGCAACTTGTCTGTTCCCCTTCCCTCAATTCCCCAGCACTGCTCCCATCCCCCCAATTCCCCAATAAAAATCTTTAAAACAAAAAAACAAAAAAACAAATCAACTTGCTAAATAGCAGTGAGGAGTACCTCAGTGAACCCACTCTCCCAGAAAAGCAGCAAAAATACTGGCTAAATAATGAAAATCATCATTTCAAAGTTCTGAAATTAACTGAAGGCACAGAACAAACTGGAAAGCATCTATTCAAGATAAGCTACTGAACCAAGGTTAGAGCAGTGGAGTTGGGGCAATTCTCACCACTCACCCCTCCTCAGCTCAAAACAGAAATTTTTGAAATGAAAATACAATAACCAAAAGAAAATCCCATAGATAAGCTCTGCAACAGAATGGGGAGGACAGAGGAAAGAACCACTAAAATTAAAGAAGGAGCAAGCAAAAACACCCAATCTAAACAACAGGGGGAAAACACTGAGGAAAAAAAAGAAAGAAACGATCCTCACGAAGCTGTGGGACAACAACAAAAAATCTAACATTAGTGTCATCAGAGTCCCAGAAGAAGAGAAAGAACATGGCTGAAAAAATATTTGAAGAAATAACGGCTGAAAATTTTCCAAATTTGGCAACATGCTAAGAAAACCCCAAACAAGATAAAACCCAAGGAAATCTGTAGAAAGATACAGCAAAGTCAAACTTCTGAAAATTACAGGCAAAAGAAAATATCTTGAAAGCATCAAGAAAAAAAATACCTCTCTTAAGGGAGGTGGAAGGAGACAGGATTCCAGTGACAGAGAGTTCTCATCAGAAGCCATGGAGACCACAAGCCATGGAGGCCTATTTTTCAATAGGTCAAAGAAAAGAACTTTCAACCCAGAATTCTATATCCACCAAAAATATCCTTCAATAATGAATGGGGAAATCAAACCATTGTCTAGATGAAGGGAAATCATATAGTCAACTATAATAGCTATTACGACATTAGAGGGGTAGTAGACTTGGGGATGGTTATCACTTTGTGAGAGGTGTAAATCACCTGAAACTAATAAAAAAATAAATAAAAAGATGAAGGGAAACCAAGAAATTTTATCACCAGCAGACCTACTCTAAAAAAATGCCTAAAAGAAATTCTGTAGCAGAAGGGCATCTTGGAAAATCAGGAAGGAGAAAAGGACAATGGAAAGAGTAAAAATATTTTAAAATATAATACATTTTCCTTCTCTTGAGTTTTCTAAATTATGTTTGACAAAGCAAAATTTTTAATAATATCTGATGTGCTTCTCTATGTAGAAGAAATATTTATGACAGTTGCATTATAAATAAGAGAAGGTAAAGAGATATAATGGTATATAAAGTTTCTACACTTCACCCAAACCAAAATGATGATACCAGCATACTGTGATAAATTATGTACTTATAATGTAATACCTAGAGCAACCACTGAAAAGTGATACAAAGAGATACACTCAAAAACACTATAGACAAATCAAAATGGAAGTCTAAAAAATTGTTAAAGTAACCCACAGGAAGGCAGGGGGTAAAAAAAGAAACAAAAAAATAGAGAAAACAAATGAACAAAAAGAGTAGACTTGAGCCCTAATATATCAATAATTACATTAAATGTAAATGGTCTAAATACACAATTATAAGACTGAATTTTTTAAATAACTATATGCCATTACAAGAAGATTACTTTGAATATAATGACATGGTTAGGTTGAAAGTGAAAGAATGAAAAAGATACACTATGTAAACATTAATCAGGAGAAAGCAGAAATAGGTTAAACCCACAGAGACAGAAAGTAGATTCATGGTTGGTTGCCAGAGGCTGGATGGAACAAAAAAATGATTGCTAATGGTTTCTTCTGGGGGGTGATGAATGTATTCTAGAATTAGATCGTAATGATGGTCACACAACTGTATGAATATACTAAAAATCACTGAATTGTGTACTCTAAAGGGTGAATTTTATGGTATGTGAATTGAATCTCAAAGAAAATACCTCAATAAAGTTGTTTTTTAAAAACCTCAAAAGTAAAAAAAATCATTAATTAAAAACAAACAATATAATTAATAAATGAGCCAAAGACATTAAGACACTGTATTAAAGAGGATACAGGGATGGCAAATAGGCACATGTTCTACATCACTAGCCATTAGGGAAATGCACATTAAGACCAGAATAAGCTGTTGTTATATGCCTATCAGAATAACTTCAGTAAAAAAAATAGTGAAGGCGGTAAGGATGTGAAGAAACTACATCTCTCATATATTGCTGATGAAAATGTAAAATGGTACAGCCAATCTAGAAAGCAGTTTGGCAGTTCAGTAAACATATGATCCAACAATTGCGCTCCTGGGCATTTTTCCCAGAAAAATGAAATTTTACGAGGCCTGATCAAACAACATGGTGAATGTTTAAATAAAACAAAAAATTTATTACAGTAATAGATACACTGCCATTAATCCACCTCAAATCCCGCCCCCCCCCACACACACACACTTCAAACACACTTATTCTATCGTTCTTGCCACTTTCTGAAAGCAGTTCTGGAAGTCCTCTTGGCTGCCTCAATGTCCTGAATTGATTCAAAACCTTTCATGGTCATTTTGACTTTGGTAAACAACCAGGTGAATAACGTGGATGAGGACACACCGTAATGTTTTTATTTGACAGAAACTGCCATACCAGAAGTGATGTGTGACACGGAGCCTTTCCATTGTGATCACAAATATGGTGAATGCTGCTGCCGAGTGCCATCCAACAGAAAGGCAGGAATCTTCAAAGTGGAAAGTGGTGTGTGACAGTGTGTGACAAGTTTCAACTTGTTCAGCGCAGTCAGTCGGGTGTGAGCTACAGTTGAGAGAAGGTGTGTTTTAAAGTGTGCCATAAATCATCTTCTATCATGACAACACTCCGTGTCACACATCGTTTCTGGTACTGCAATTTCTGTCAAATAAAAACATCACGGTGTGTCCTCGTCCACCTTATTCACCAGATCTGGCACCGTGCGATTTCTGGATGTTTCCCAAAGTCATGATTCAGGACATTGAGGCAACCACAACAGCACACAGAAGACACTCACAAAAGAGGATTTCCAGAGCTGGTTCAGAAAGTGGCAAGAA